GTGCGGAAAAAAGGTGCGCAAATGTCCGGGTGCGCAAAAAAAAGGTCGCATTTGTCCCACTCCCCATTTAACTGATTTGGCGGTAGATTCCCTTCAAATGTAAAGATATTCAGCTTTTAAACTGACTTGGTGACAAATTCACGTCGAATATAATGATATTCAATTTATTCGACGCGTAAACAGGATCACTCGTAGTTACTCGACAAAAAACGCCGGTTAATCGAATAAAAATGACTCATGGAAACTTTACTCGAGTGATTATAGTCATTATTTGGATCCATTTGCAAAACAACGCCGCCAAAAACAGCGTCACCCAAAACTCGACTTTTGCTTTTGCTTTTACTTTGCTGTTTTTAACTTTTCCTGTTCGCTTTTTATGTTTTTAGGGTAAAAAGAGGTGGAGAATCTGATTTTTTAAGTTTTACGCATAGAAACTCATGGTAGCGATTTATTAAAGTGATTTTAACCAAAAAAACATCAAACTTTCTCCTTTTACGACCTGTTTTTTCAACGTTTTTACTAACTTTTTATTTTTGCAGGTAACAGCAATCTGAAACCGAGTGGGACGTTGCTGCATGCTCATCATCGTCGTGACGTTGCTGCATGCTCATCATCGTCGTGACGTTGCTGCATGCTCATCATCGTCGTGACGTTGCTGCGTGCTCATCATCGTCGTGACGTTGCTGCACGCTCATCATCGTCGTGACGTTGCTGCATGCTCATCATCGTCGTGACGTTGCTGCATGCTCATCTTGGTCGTGACGTTGCTGCATGCTCATCATCGTCGTGACGTTGCTTATCATCACTGACCTGGAGTTTTGAGGTATATTTTAACAGCTTTATTATATATTTTAACAGCTTTAACAGATATTTTAACAGCTTTAACAGATATTTTAACAGCTTTAACAGATATTTTAACAGCTTTAACAGATATTTTAACAGCTTTAACAGCATAACTTTGTTCGTCTAGCCATTTAGCATTTTCATTTTGCAGGCAATCGATCAGTCACAATCGAGCGAGGTTTTGCTGCGTGTTTCAAAAGGACAAACGGGAAGGTTAAGGTATATTTTATCAGCTTTATAGTAAGATGCTATAGTAAGATGATTTGTTGACATGGTTTTATCAGCTTTCTGGTTTGTTAGTTATTAATTCATTTGTCTAGGTAGAATGACAAGCCGAAAGGCGCGGCCACAGACACAGATGGATTCGAATATCAAAAGGACAAAGGATTTAAATGCGGTGTACTTTTGAGTTAGGTAAATGAGGTATAATTTATCTTGTAATACCCAGTTCTGTTTCTTTTTAGGTGTTCAAAGACGAAATGTTATGGCCAAAGCCATTAAAACAAAGCAACCGGTATTCTTACGGCAATGAAAAAGCACGACCACTTGCCACCAGAAAGCAAAAAACAGGTAGATGATTAAGACATTGTTGCTTGTGTATTAAATGCGTTTTTAGAATCGAATTGTGTGCGAAGATGTTAAATGCAAGCAAAGATCGTGTCCCCGTCAAAGAAATTGTACAATACAAGCAGTCCACGTTGGCACAATTAAATCCTCAAAATCCTCATACTCATAAGTCGCATCTGGATCGTAAATTAGCTGTGTTGAGTAGAAAACTCAATTCTTTTCCACTACGGAAAGCTCTAGCCGTTTATGTTCATCATCGCTAGTGTTATAATTTTTCAGAGTCTCTTGGATTATTAATTTTATGCTATTTTGGTGTTTTTTATGCTGTTATCATTTAATTGTTGGTCTTGTTTGATCTTTTGATGTTTGGTCTTGAATGATTAACAAAATTAACCTAATTATTTACTCGCAACACACTCTAATTACAAGTGTTGGCTTAGGCTCAGCAAACAAAAGCTCAGGCTCAATGAGCCTAAGCAAAGCATTTACTTGCCTAATCGTCAACTTTGATCTAGGATTCATTTGGAAGTTTGTGAATGGATTTTGATTTGATATATCTATTGGGTTGTCCAGTTATGAATGCGCGTTTTTACTATTTTGTAAATTTCTCAAGGTATCGAACAGATTTATATGAGTGTTATATATCATTCGAAAGCTGAAGATCTCCTCTACATTTTGGAATAAAAATCTTTTTGAATTCATTCAACTTTTTGGGGAAATTGACTGCACAAAGGGAGAGGTCTTTTTCGAAAAAACCCATTCCAGCTTAGCTATTCCTCAAGTTTTATGGTGTAAAATAACCGCCCAGAAAAGAAAAGAAAAGATGCTCTGAAATTGTTATATTAAAAAAAAAGTTGTATTGATATATCTATTGGCCAAACATCAAACGGTTAACTCAATTTGAGCGGAGCCAAAGTTACGCTTCCATTTTTTTGGCCACCTCTTCTTCTGTGCAGTCAATTTGCCCAAAAGCTGAACAAATTCAAAAACTTTTTATATCAAAATGTAGAGGAGATCTTGAGCTTTCGAATAATACTCATATATATCTTTTTCTTGATTTCGGTATCTTGAGAAATTTACAAAATAGTAAAAAACGCGCATTCATAACTGGACAATCCAATATAATCTAAATGATTTAAATGATCTGAATTATCTAAATCATCTAAATCATCTAAATGATCGTCGAATTATCTAAATTTGCTTTTGCTGAGCTTCTTTTTACTAGAACTCTTTATTCCTTTGCGAATCAAAAAAAAAATACGGACAATCAATGAAAAAACGAAAACAAAATCGCTCATAAATCACATTTTCAACATCGGGAATTGAAATAGATTTGAAAAAATACAAAAATTACATCAAATATTAAACAAAATCAACAAAAAACGATCACAACACTGTCGCTAATCGGTTTTTTTTTCTTTCACTGGATCGCTGAGTATTTTGAAATCAAAGAAAATTGAATTCATTCTATGTACAGTAAGAAAATAAAAGGATAAAAAGAATAAAACGAATAAAAAGGAGAAAACGAATGGAAAGAATGGAAAGAATGGAAAGAATAAAAAGGATAAAACGAATAAAAAGAAGAAGACAAAGAAGAAGAAGAATAAAAAGAATAAAACAAATAAAAAGAATAAAACGAACAAAACGGATAAAAAGAATAAAAAGAATGGAAAAATTAAGTATTAAAAGTTAAATAAATCGGGGAAAATAACTCAAATACACATATTTTTCGACCGTGTTCACCCGTTTTTTTTTTCGGTTCATTTTTCTTTTGGCGGGTGGGACAAATGCGCCTTTTTTTGCGCACCTGGACATTTATGCCCTTTTTTTTGCGCACCTGAACATTTGCGCACCTTTTTTTTCTTTGCTGGAAAAGGCTTTAGGAAAAGCCGTAGAGCTTGGCTTTAGGCAAGGCTAGGCAAGGCGGTAGAGCTTCGAAAATCTTTCCACATAAGGGAATCGTATGCGTAGATTCCGAATTTCGACAAATCACACCTCGCTGACACGTGAAATTTGTCAAAATTCTGAATCTACGCATACGATTCCCTCCTATGAAAACATTTTTGAAGCTCTATAGAGCTCTACGACCTTTCCTAAGGCCTTTTCCCCTAAGGACATTTGTCAAAAAGGTGCGCAAATGTCCAGGCGCGCAAAAAGAAGGTGCGCAAATGTCCAGGCGCGCAAAAAGAAGGTGCGCAAATGTCCCACTCCCTTCTTTTGTTATCAAGCGGGAAAGTTTATTTAAAAATGAAGAAAAATGATTGATTTTATCAAATTCAAATTCGAATTTCGAATAGTTTACACCGGTATTTGGGGGATTTCATTTTGGGTACTGTAAAGCCTGAGGGTTTTTCCTTTTCGGCTGCAGTAAACCACAAAGATCTACAGTCTACAGGCTACAAAGATCGTCAATTAATACAGTATACTGTCGTAAATTTGGCTTTACAGTATCTTTAGATGAGTTTTATGAAGAGAGAATCGAGGATTTCAAGGATTTTTCAAGGATTTCAAGGATTTCAAGGATTCTAGGCTCAAATTTTCGACTGAATACAAAGATTTTAAAGTCTAGAGTCGTCTGAGGCATGTAGCCGTTTGAGATCTTGAACTATTGTAGATTCTAGAGTTCTAGAGTACTCTAGCTTAGAGTTTTACTGTCTTAGAGTGTCCTAGACGACTGTAGTCCGTTTAGAGTGTCCGACTGTAGTCCGTTTAGAGTGTCCTAGACGACTGTAGTCCGTTTAGAGTGTCCTAGACGACTGTAGTCTGTTTAGAGTGTCCTGTAGTCCGTTTAGAGTGTTCTAGACGACTGTAGTCCGTTTAGAGTGTCTTAGACGACTGTAGTCTGTTTAGAGTGTCCTGTAGTCCGTTTAGAGTGTCTTAGACGACTGTAGTCCGTCTAAAAACCGATAAAACTATAGGTAATATCTATAAAACTATAGGTAATATCAATAAAACTTTAGATTTACTTAAAAGTTACTGTTTTTTTGTCTCTGAATCCTTTTAATCCTCTCTCCTCAAAATGGAAAACTGTTAAAACAAGGCCACCAATAAGAAATGGGGAAATTCAGCTTCAATGGGGAAAAAGTAGGCACTGAGTTAGGATTTAGCATAGGATAAGAACAAGATAAGAACAAGATAAGAATAAGATTACTGGCATTACAGTTACTGCCACAGCATTCTAAAACATTTATCGCTTTTTAGGGATTTAAAAATGAGAAAATCCTAAACAGAAATTCGGGGGAAACTCGCTGAGTTGGTGGAGATTTAGAAGAATTAGAAGGATTAGAAGAGTTAGAAGAATTAGAAGATTTAGAAGAATTAGAAGGATTAGAAGAGTTAGAAGAATTAGAAGATTTAGAAGAATTAGAAGAATTAGAAGAGTTAGAAGAGTTAGAAGAATCAGAAGAGTTATAAGAATTAGAAGAATTAGAAGAATTAGAAGAATTAGAAGATTTAAACGAATTTTGAGGAAAAAATCGTTTTGATTAGGCAAGAAATGTTGAGAATGGAAAAGAAAAAGACCCGATTTTTGACGTAAAAAGAAAAGTTTCCCACTTCGATCACGTTTTGCTCTTTTTTCTTTGAGGTCACCGGAAGTCTGGCCCGAAATCCGGAATGTCGATCCCGTTGTAACCCTGGAAAGGTTTGATTATGGCTCAAGGCTTTAAAGGCTAAATTATGGCTTTAAATCCAAATCCAGTCCAACTCAGATACAAAAACAAAGCTTCAGGATTATCTAGACTTGGCTAGACTTCTCTAGACTTGGCTAGATCTATCTAGACTTGGCTAGACCTCTCTGGATTTGGCTAGACCTCTCTAGACTTGGCTAGACCTCTCTGGATTTGGCTAGACCTCTCTAGACTTGGCTAGATCTATCTAGACTTGGCTAGACCTCTCTAGACTTGGCTAGATCTATCTAGAGCTTTTTCAAGCAATCAAGCTGACTCGAGACTAAATTTTATAGAGTGGGGTTCTCGAATCCGTTTATAGTTTTTGCAGAACGAGAGTGGGACTCGAACTTGAGAGAAAAGAATGTAACAGGTTTAACAGACTATCCAGTCTAAAGTCTAACAGACTATCCAGTCTAATAGACTATCCAGTCTAAAAGAATATAACAGATCACCGAAGCAGCTAAGTCTGTGACAGTTTCAGAACGAGCTCGGAGTTCGAAATTCAAGATTTTCTATGCTAAATATCTCGCCTTTGCGAAGCGTTTCGCAAAAAAATAAAAACGGATTTGAGGTCCCCATGGCTGACTCTATAAAATGGGCGTTTAAAGAAGCGAAATTCTCTCACCTTTAGCCAATATGTCGTTTGTCTTCCCTTTCCTTTCATCTCCACTTCGCCGCGGAGATCCAACCGGAAACCGGGGTCAACGGTGAGCATTTCTTTCGCCTCTGTTGACACGTGAATTCGAAGAGCTGAAAAAATTAGAAACAGTTTTGTGTCAATTTCTAGCATTAGATTTAGGTTTAACTATTCTCAAAAAGACTCACGCAGCCCGTTGCTTTCCATTCTCGATGCGGTGTTGACAGTGTCACCGAATAGGCAATATCTCGGCATCTTTGAGCCAACCACTCCAGACACCACCGAGCCTGGAATTCGGTTTTAGAATTGCTATTGAAAGAAGAAGAAGAAGAAGAAGAAGAAGAAGAAGAAGAAGAAGAAGAAGAAGAAGAAGAAGAAGAGGAAGAAGAAGAGGAAGAAGAAGAGGAAGAAGAAGAAGAAGAAGAAGAAGAGGAAGAGGAAGAAGAAGAAGAAGAAGAAGAAGAAGAAGAAGAAGAAGAAGAGGAAGAAAAACAAGAACGAGAGCTAGAACCAGATCCAGAACTAGAACTAGAACAAGAGCAAGAACCAGAACAAGAACCAGAACAAGGACTAGAGCTAGAACTAGAGCTAGAACTTGTCTAAACTCACCCGAATGCATCCCAATCCGCAACTTGAGCTGCTCGTTTGGTCGGTGTCGAATCACAAAGTTTTTCACCTTATGCAATAAAGCGATGCTCATTTGCGCAATCTGTGACGCGTGATCGTCTCTCTTTTCCGGTAAACCGGAAACCACCATGTAGGCGTCACCAATTGTCTCCACTTTGTAAACCTAGAAATTTCTAGTATCATACTAAGATATCAAGTTATAGACTCAATTAGGGACCAATTAGGGACCAATTAGGGACCAATTTAAGGTCCAATTGAGGGATCATCGTTACTTAACGGTGATGTTACTGCAGAAGGGAGTGGAAGTTTCGATCGTCTTCCCTTTACGATCAGTTACAGTAGTCTATTCTCCAATTTGGATCATATTGGGTGGGTTTAGGTTGCAGTAGAGAGAGATTACGGTAGTCTGGATGGGTTTAGGTTGCAGTAGAGAGAGATTACTGTAGTCTGGATGGGTTTAGGTTGCAGTAGAGAGAGATTACTGTAGTCTGGATGGGTTTGGGCTACGATAGATCGAGATTACGGTGGTCTGGATGGGTTTAGGTTGCAGTAGAGAGAGATTACTGTAGTCTGGATGGGTTTAGGTTACGATAGATCGAGACTACTGTAGTCTGGATGGGTTTAGGTTGCAGTAGAGAGAGATTACTGTAGTCTGGATGGGTTTAGGTTGCAGTAGAGAGAGACTGTAGTGTGGATGGGCTTAGGTTACGATAGATCGAGACTACTGTAGCCTAGCTAGGCTCAGGTTACAGTAGATCGAGATTACTGTAGTCTGACTAGCCTTTATTACCTTAAAGTTGTCGACCACTCCGTCAAACGCCATGTAGAGATCGTTGAGAAGGGTGACGACCTTAAATTGAGCTTTATCTAGGTTTTGTGATAGCTTTCTACAGTGAAACTGGTATTTAATACTTTATTAGAGTTTTGCAATGATTTTGCAATGATTTTGCAATGATTTTGCAATGGTTTTTATGAATCTCTTTTACCTGCATTGGTGTAGACATGCTGGATAATGAGGTGAAGCCGACGATGTCCGAGAAATAGATAGTGACACTCTCATATTGTTCAGCTTGGACAGCTTTACCGGCTATCAACTAAAGACAGGGATTACTGTAGCCTAGCTAAAGAGTAGCCAGGGATTACTGTAGCTAGGGACTACTGTAGCCAGGGATTACTGTAGCAGAGTTACAGCGCCCATCAGCATCCTTCCACCCACTTGATCAGCGATTGATGGAGGCAACAATTGATGAAGCAATTCCTCGACTTTCTTCTTCTCAGCCAGATATTCTTGAGTTCTTTCTTCAACAAGTCCCTCCAAATTGTTCGCATATTGCTCCATCCGCTTCAACAAGTTGTCCACCAGGTTTGACGTCTCATTTTCTCTAGAACCAATTGTAGAACTAGAATTTCTCAATAGATTGTTTTGCACTCACTTGTTGAGACTCCGGACCACTTTTCGAACAAAGCTGAAGTCAGGGCGCTCTGTGGGGTTCTCCGCCCAACACATATGCATCAAATCGATCAGCGAGCTCTCTTCTGGCTCTTCTCCTTAAAGATTTGATCGTAAATTGTCGCAGAGTTGGTATTGAGCTTGAGCTTTAGCTTGAGCTTTGGCTTGAGCTTTGGCTTGAGCTTGAGCTTTAGCTTGGGCTTGAGCTTTAGATTGAGCTTGGGCTTGAGCTTTAGATTGAGCTTGGGCTTGAGCTTGGGCTTTAGCTTGGGCTTTAGCTTGAGCTTCAGTTTCAGCTTTGGCTTGAGCTTTAGCTTGAGCTTTAGCTTGAGCTTTAGCTTGAGCTTTAGCTTGAGCTTTAGCTTGAGCTTTAGCTTGAGCTTTAGCCTCAGCTTCATCTTCAGCTTTAGCCTCAGCTTCATCTTCAGCTTGAGCTTGGGCTTGAGTTTGGGCTTGGGCTTGGGCTTGAGCTTCAGCTTCAGCCTTAGCTTCAGCCTTAGCTTCAGCTTTATCTTCATCTTCAGCTTCATTTTCAGCCTTAGCTTCAGCCTTAGCTTCAGCCTTAGCCTCAGCTTCATCTTCAGCTTTAGCTTGAGCTACTGTAAAGAGCAGGAGCCCTAGAGGGCTGTACTTTGTATTGAGCGTACTTAGTGGCTGGATCTTGGTGTACATAGTCAAAGGGCTCCTGTTCTTTACAGTAGCTCAAGCTAAAGCTGAAGATGAAGCTGAAGATGAAGTCAAAGTCAAGACAATAGCATATAATGGCTTGTCTAAAAGCCTCACCTTCTTGTGGCTCGGGAACAAACGGTCGAAAGAGCTCATCATCAGAAATCGGCGGTTTCTTGACTCGATCGACGATCTCTTGTGGACTCAAATGCTCATTCTCAAGAGAAAACACTCCTCTTCTCCAAATCATTTCATGCAAAATAATCGCGAATGAGTAAATATCTCCCTTTTGTGTCCCCTGAATGGGCGGATTCGTGTCACGGAGCAATTCAGGCGCTGTCCACAGCTTTTCTGAAAGAAATTCATACTGAAAACTGTTTAATATTGATAGATTTCTTGGTTTTAAGTCTATTTCCATATTCTCTGTTATTTGAAGAGCTGTTTCAGGACAAGTTTCTAGGTCAGGCTTGCTTTCTGGTCTAGTATGGCTTGGACTTAGGCTTAGGCTCAGGCTTAGGCTCAGGCTTAGGCCTAGGTCCTGGCTCTCAAAGTCGCTGGATTGAGAAGTTAGAGCGATCTTCTCGACCTGGACTAGTTTTGGGTTGCATGACCTAGTTTGACTGCTCTCCTAGACAAGGGAATTGTCCAAACTGGGACGATTTCGCTATCCCGTTAAGATTTGTACTGTACTGTACTCTGTACTGTGCTGTTCTCTGTACTGTGCTGTACGCTCTACGGTGCTGTACTCTGTACTGTTCTCTGTACTGTACTGTATGCTCTACTGTATTGCACTGTACGCTCTACTGTGCTGTTCTCTGTACTGTACTGTACGCTCTACTGTACTGTACGCTCTACTGTGCTGTTCTCTGTACTGTGCTGTACGCTCTACTGTGCTGTACTCTGTACTGTGCTGTTCTCTGTACTGTACTGTGCTCCGTACTGTGCTGTTCTCTGTACTGTACTGTACGCTCTACTGTACTGTTCTCTGTACTCTGTACTGTACTCTGTACTGTACTCTGTACTGTACTCTGTACTGTACTCTGTACTGTACTCTGTACTGTACTCTGTACTGTACTCTGTACTGTACTCTGTACTGTGTACTGTATTTTCAAACGAAAAACGAACTCTTGTGAAAAGCGTGCTCGCCGATCTCCTCAATATTGTGCTCTTCGAGGGCGTGAAGCTTGTGAAGGCCGAAATCAGTCACCTAGACAAATTCACCGTTTAAATAGTAATCTTCGAATAAATCAATTCAAATATATCACAAAAATCACAAAAATTCGCATCTAAAACAAACTTTGAGCACGAAACGACTATCAACGACACAGTTGCTCGACTTCAACTTCCCATGAGTACGGAGCTCGGAGTTGTGCAAGAAGTACATACCCTGGAAGTACATAACCCCGTTTTCAAATCATTTTCCGCTTTTACACCCAAATTTTAACTGATTTTGGGATTTGAATCAAAGAAAATCGAATTTTCACAAAAAAACGAGAGTCGGAATCGAACTCGAGGAGGGAGAAGGAACGATCGTTTTCTAAACGAGTCTCTTAACCCCTAGACTATCCAGTCACCTTGACCTCCCCCGAAAAAAAGGGTCTAAATCCCTTCTCCTCAGAATTTTCCCCCTTTTTCTCTACTCGACTTCTATTCCAGATATCTCGAGTTACAGAAATCGTAGAGAAAAACCGAAAACAGATTCGGAATCAGCGTAAAATTCTGCTAAATCTTATCCTTAGAGTTGTAGACGAAGATACCAATTGTAGACGAAAATACCAATTGTAAACGATCGTACCAATCTTTTCCTTTAAAACCTTTTGCATTTACCTTAACGAGATCGTGCAACAATGAATACTTCATCATTTTGTCCAACTCGATTTTATCGTTCTCCAGAATGTCCTCTAGTGATCCCTTTGGACAATACTCGGTCACAATGCAGTAATGAGGACAATCGACGCAAGCACCCGTGAATCTAGAAAACATTTTTGCTAGTGAGTTGTTAGAAACTCATGGATTGGCAGGGTTTAGGCCAGGGCTTAGGCTAGGCTAGGCAATGCCAAGATTAGAGCCAGATCCAGGCCAGAATCCAGGTCAGATCCAGGCCAGAATCCAGGCCGATCTTGGCCGATCTGGGTCGATCTTGGCCGATCTAGGCCGATCTAGGCCGATCTGGGTCGATCTGGGCCGATCTAGGCCGATCTGGGTCGATCTAGGCCAATCTTGGCCGATCTGGGCCGATCTGGGTCGATCTAGGCCGAGCTGGACCGATCTGGGTCGATCTTGGCCGATCTGGGCCGATCTTGGCCGATCTAGGCCGATCTAGGCCGATCTTGGCCGATCTAGGCCGATCTAGGCCAATCTTGGCCGATCTGGGCCGATCTGGGTCGATCTAGGCCGATCTGGACCGATCTGGGTCGATCTTGGCCGATCTGGGCCGATCTTGGCCGATCTAGGCCGATCTAGGCCGATCTTGGCCGATCTAGGCCGATCTAGGCCAATCTTGGCCGATCTGGGCCGATCTGGGTCGATCTAGGCCGATCTGGACCGATCTGGGTCGATCTTGGCCGATCTGGGCCGATCTTGGCCGATCTAGGCCGATCTAGGCCGATCTTGGCCGATCTGGCCGATCTAGGCCAATCTTGGCCGATCTGGTCGATCTGGCCGATCTGGCCGATCTGGGTCGATCTTGGCCGATCTGGGCCGATCTTGGCCGATCTAGGCCGATCTAGGCCGATCTTGGCCGATCTGGGCCGACTTGGGCCGATCTGGGCCGACTTGGGCCGATCTGGGCCGACTTGGGCCGATCTTGGCCGATCTGGACCGTTTTCCTTAGTCTTTAGTATCACGATTACCTTGTGATATGATCATGTTGTAAATCCTTCATCTTCTTAAACTCCATCAACATCGCACGAGACATCTCGAGCTTTGGGTACTTTTTCGTGTCTATCGCTAGCGATTTGATCGCCACCATTGTACCCTAAAAAGTCAATGGTTTAAATTATCTAATCTAAGAAGGAAATCGCAATGAATGTCTTTCAAACCTTGTAAACAGCAGTTTTCGTATAGATTTGCGCATTATTCTGCAGCTGGATTGTCTCCGCCGAGCCACCGCTCTAAAAATTCTTCGATTTTCTTTGATTTTCTTCGATTTTCTTCAATTTTCTTCGATTTTCGTTTAAAATTCATCGATTTTCGTCAAAAATCCAAAATTACCAACAATCCTTTTGTTTTAATCGAAAATTTAGCCGAATTTCGCCGAATTTACGTCATTACCTTTAATGAAATCCCGGCAAAGGAAAGTTTCCGTCCTCGTAGGCTCACTGATCCTTTCTTGTTGCTAATCGACTCCTCATTTGAGATCTTTTTTCGGTAATCCGAATTTGAGCTCACCGGTGAGCTTACCTAGAGAATTTTTGTTGTTTAAATGTTATAAAATGTTTTAAAATGTTTTAAAATGTTCTAAAATGTTATAAAAATGATTTTAATGATAATTTAATTGATTTGTTCTTGTGCAACAGTTCCATTATGGTTCCTTTCTGTTATTTGGTTTCAATATGGTTCCTTCCTATTATTTGGTTCCAATATGGTTCCAATATGGTTCCAATATGGTTCCTTCCTGTTATTTGGTTCCAATATGGTTCCTTCCTGTTATTTGGATCCAATATGGTTCCAATATGGTTCCTTCCTCTTATTTGGTTCCAATATGGATCCAATATTGGCTTTACAGGATCCTTACAGCACTCTACAATGGGTTAGTACAGTCTTGTACAGTCTAGTACAGTCTAGTACAGTCTAGTACAGTCTAGTACAGTCTAGTACAGTCTAGTACAGTCTAGTACAGTCTAGTACAGTCTAGTACAGTCTAGTACAGTCTAGTACAGTCTAGTACAGTCTAGTACAGTCTAGTACAGTCTTGTACAGTCTAGTACAGTCTAGTACAGTCTAGTACAGTCTAGTACAGTCTAGTACAGTCTAGTACAGTCTTGTACAGTCTAGTACAGTCTACTGTTCTTATTGATCAAAAAAACATTGGAAAATCGTGTAAAAATCAAAGAAAGCTCGTGTAAAACGTTGTTTGAAGTAAAACGGAAAGTCCACCACTTCTATTTGCTTTTTAGTTCAATGAGTTCTTCATTTCTTTATAGAAATAGCTAGTCCAAGAAGAAAATGAAGAATTCAGTGCACTAGAAAGTATGTGTTTCTATTTTTTTGAACAAAAAGTTTAACTGAAAAGGACGAGTCACTCGGGAATGCCTTTTGAAATGCGGAAATGTCTTTTGAAAGCTTTCGAAAGCTTTTGAAAGCTTTATTAGTTATTGGTGAAAGCTTTAATGGTAGTGAAAGCGCTAATGGTTCTAATAGAGCTTCTATCAACTTCTAATGGTTCTAATAGAGCTTCTATCAACTTCTAATGGTTCTAATAGAGCTTCTATCAACTTCTAATGGTTCTAATAGAGCTTCTATCAACTTCTAATGGTTCTAATAGAGCTTCTATCAACTTCTAATGGTTCTAATAGAGCTTCTATCAACTTCTAATGGTTCTAATAGAGCTTCTATCAACTTCTAATAGCTAATTAAGCTTTGAAAGCTTTCAAAAGACTCATTTCATATTGACAAAGGGTTTTAAACGAAAGCAACAAGAATTGAAGGAAATATTCATCTATTGTTAGCTCAATACACTCTAGTACAGTCTTGTACAGTCTAGTACAGTCTAGTACAGTCTTGTACAGTCTAGTACAGTCTAGTAGTCTGATTGTCTATAGGTTTACAACGGAAAAACCGAGATTTACCCACTTCAATGGCTACTTTTCAAGAATTTTTCAGACCAAACGATAGAGCTTTGAAAATTCTACACCTATAAAGCAAGAAAGATCGAAAAAATGACAAGAAATGCTCAAATCTCAAATCCATTGTACCACCCAATGAAAATTGAACCGAAAACTGGTTTCTACAGGATTCTATCCTCACCCGTCTATCATTGAATCGAACTTCTTGATGATTGTTTAGTGGAGACGTTTCACCGTCCTGAAATCACCATTCCCAATCAAAAATAAAAGAGAGACAAAGGGAAATTTGAACAAATCACAAATGATTTCAACAAATCTTTTGCTTACAAAGCTTTTGCTTACAAAGCTTTGCCTTACAAAGCTTTTGCTAGCAAAGCTCTTAACAGAAATCTCCATGCAGGTGTGATAATCATTCTATTACATTAGTTAAATGATGTGCTAAAAAGTTACTGTAATGTTGAGAGTACTGTAAATACTCTAATGGTTCTAATAGAGCTTCTAAAAGAGCATCTGATAGAGCTTCTAATAGAGCTTCTATTAGCCTCTAGTACATCCTCTAATAGAGCTTCTATTAGCCTCTAGTACAGCCTTTAATAGAGCTTCTAAAAGAGCTTCTAAAAGAGCTTCTAATAGAGCTTCTATTAGCCTCTAATACAGCCTTTAATAGAGCTTCTAATAGAGCTTCGATTAGCCTCTAGTACAGCCTCTAATAGAGCTTCTAATAGCTACTGCTTTGTACTTTAATAGACGCATCCTTTCTGGCGTGCTCAAGTGAGTCAGAGAGGTACAAAAGTACCTCTCTGGCCACAAAAGTACCTCTCTGGTACCTTTAAGTACAAAAGCAGTAGATTTCTAGCTATTTACAGTAGAACTTTAAAGCAAGATATGACTCTAAGAACTTTAATAAAGTTTGAATTATAGAATGATAGAATGATAGATTTGATTTGAATGATAGAATTGAAATGCTTACACTGTCAACTTCTTTGAGAGAATGGATCGTATTTGTGTGACCGCCAAGCATTCCCGGCCTCTCAACACCAGAGAAAGCACCACCCTGGAAATTCACTTGTAAAACTGTCGCCTATGGTATTGTAGCCTCGGTATTATAGCCTATGATTTTGTAGCCTCGGTATTGTAGGCTTGGGGTAACTTTTTACTTACTCCGAGTCCTTGAAATCGATATAAATCGTTTAAATTTGGATATAAAGCCTTTAAATTTGGATGTAAATCGTTTAAATTTGGATATAAATCGTTTAAATTTGGATATAAACCCTTTAAATTGATATAAAGCCTTTAAATTTGGATGTAAATCGTTTAAATTTGGATATAAACCCTTTAAATTGATATAAATCGTTTAAATTTGGATGTAAATCGTTTAAATTTGGATATAAAGCCTTTAAATTGATATAAATCCTTTAAATGTCTATATAAATCCTTTAATTCGATATAAATCAATAAAAAACCCACAGCCGGCGCTCCGTTTTTCTCAGCATTCGGCGAGCTTTTCTTTCTCGTTAAAAATTGCGAGAATTTTCGATCGATCATCGCCGAGATTTTCCGCGTTGCTCCAGAAGACGAGCTTCTCTAAAAGAAAAGATCAATTTCTCACAAATTTAGATTTCTATAGGTCGAATTCGATAGTTATTCGATAGAATTCGATAGTTGTTCTATAGTTTTCTATAGAATTCTATAGTTTTCTTTAGTTATTCTATAGTTTATTCTATAGTTTTCTATGGTCATTGTATAGAATTCTATAGTTATTCTATCGAATTCTATCGAATTCTATAGTTTTCTTTCGTTTTCTTTCGTTTTCTTTCATTTTTTTTTCATTTTTTTTCATTTTTTTTCGTTTTTTAACTATTCACACACTTTTTTTCACTCCAAATACCAGAATTTCAAAGAGAATTGGGGGAAAAGAGGAGAAAAGTCAAAGAAAAATAGACGCAAACCACAAAAACAAGCATGCAAACTCTAGAAAAAAGGACAAATCTATTGAAATCTGTTGAAATTTGTTGAAATCTGTTGAAATCTATTGAAATCTGTTGAAATCTGTTGAAATTTGTTGAAATCTATTGAAATCTATTGAAATCTATTGAAATCTATTGAAATCTATTGAAATCTATTGAAATTGATTGAAAATTGATTGAAATCTATTGAAATCTATTGAAATCTATTGAAATCTATTGAAATTTGTTGAAATCTATTGAAATCTATTGAAATCTATTGAAATCTATTGAAAAAGTCGATTTTTTTTTCTTGTTTACACTTACAATTCTACTATTTTAAGCAAATAATCAATAAATCTGTCAGAAATTTCATTCAAATCATGCAGAGATTGGAAAAAATGGTTGATTAAAGCTGATTTTTAATGAATTTTCTGATTTTTTCTGAGTTTTTGATGTTTTTTGATGTTTTTTGATGTTTTTTGATGTTTTTTCATCTTTTAAACACTAAGACTTTATCTTTTCAAGCTTTTAAACACTAAGACTGATCATTTTAGCCTTTTAAACCCTTAGACTCTATCGTTTCAAGCTTTTAAACCCTTAGACTTTATCGTTTCAAGCTTTTAAACACTAAGACTGATCATTTTAGCCTTTTAAACCCTTAGACTCTATCATTTCAAGCTTTTAAAAGCTTAGACTTTATCGTTTCAAGCTTTTAAACAATAAAACTTTATCATTTTAAGCTTTTAAAAGCTTAGACTTTATCATTTCAAGCTTTTAAACACTTAGACTGATCATTTTAGCCTTTTAAACCCTTAGACTTTATCGTTTCAAGCTTTTAAACACTAAAACTTTATCATTTCAAGCTTTTAAACCCTTAGACTTTATCATTTTAAGCTTTTAAACACTAAGACTGATCATTTTAGCCTTTTAAACACTTAGACTTTATCATTTCAAGCTTTTAAACACTTAGACTGATCATTTTAGCCTTTTAAACCCTTAGACTCTATCGTTTCAAGCTTTTAAACAATAAAACTTTATCATTTTATACTTTTAATCAATTTCTCTAGCTTCTAGTGCATTAAAAAGACAATTTCTATCTCCTTTACGCTAGAAGAAGTGCGTTTACAGGTGAGCGTTTACTTTTGAGCACAAAGTACACTGGTCTTTGTTTGTAAACGCACCATTTCCCAGTTACGCAATTGATTTTCTTTCGTTTCCTTTCAGAAATAAAGCTTTCCTGAGCTGAGGAAAGCTGAGAAAGCTGAGAAACGATGATTTCAGTGCGCTAGAAAGGGAACGTTTACAAGCAAAAGAAATCAGTGAATCAAACTCAACACGAAATCACTAAAACATTTGTTTTTTTGACTATTTACAAGGGAAGTCAATCAATTGCTATATACTATTCGACGCAGAATTTCACGCTGAATCCGAATCTGCTTTCGGTTTTGGATATGGAGGACTCTATCAAAAGTTATAAGCGTTTAAAGTTTTGGGATTTCTATGAGATTTCTATGGATTTTTATGGGATTTCTATGAAATTTCTATGGGATTTTAAAGCTTTCTATAGACTTTTAAAGCTTATAAGCAGATTTCCCAGTGGCTGAAGCAGTTATTGAGTGGGAATTCGTTTAGAAAAGAAGGCAATGGGTCAAATTGAGTTGTTTGTTGTTGAGCGTCGAATCTTATATAGCTTTGGGCACTACACGTTGGCATTCCTCTTGTAAGTAGTAGCGTAGCGTTCTAGTAAACACTAACAACACGCTATGCACGCTATGCGATAGATTATTGCTTCTCTAAATGCAAATGACAATGTAAATTGAAGACAATTGAAGTCAATTGAAGACAATTGAAGACAATTGAAGGCAATTGAAGGCAATTGAAGTCAATTGAAGGCAATTGAAGTCAATTGAAGACAATTGAAGACAATTGAAGGCAATTGAAGGCAATTGAAGTCAATTGAAGGCAATTGAAGTCAATTGAAGACAATTGAAGGCAATTGAAGGCAATTGATGACAAATTGTTAAGTAAATTGTCCAGCAAACTGTCCAGCAAACTGTCCAGCAACTTGTCCAGCAAACTGTCCAGCAAATTGCCAGGCAAATTGCCTAATTGCCAGTATGCAAATTGCCAATATTCAAATTGTCAGTATGCAAATTGCCTAATAGAGGAAATGAGTCGAGCTGTGCTTGATGGAAACTCACCAAACGCATTCTCACGAGGCCGATCGCTTCCTCGTCAAACTGAAAAGCAGAAAAGGATAGGGTTTTTCTCAGCTACAGTAGCTACAGCTACAGTAAATTGTACTAAAAATTTGATGAAAACAGAAATTGAATTCATTCAAAGCTTTCAAAACCATTTAGATCAGCTTAAATAGCGCTATTTAAGCGCTATTTTCTTTAAATTAAAAAGCTTGTATCTTGAAAGAAGTCAAGAATCTACAAAGATTGAATTACTGTAAATAGATCTACAATAGATAGCCCATCAATTTTAGATTACTTATAGTAATCTAAAATGTAAATTCCCATAGAGTTTCCGACTTTTCCCACATTTTAGATAGACATTCTTCAAAGCTTAAACGATTTCTCAGCCAATTTCTTTCAGCTCATGCTTTATCAAAGCTCCGTCCAGCTCTGTCCAGCTCTGTCCAGCTCTGTTCAGATCTTTCAGCTCTGTCCAGCTCTGTCCAGCTCTGCTCAGCTCTGTCCAGCTCTCTCCAGCTCTCTCCAGCTCTGCCCAGCTCTGTCCAGCTCTCTCCAGCTCTGCCCAGCTCTGCCCAGCTCTGCCCAGCTCTGTCCAGCTCTGTCCAGCTCTGTCCAGCTCTGTCCAGCTCTGTCCAGCTCTGTCCAGCTCTCTCCAGCTCTGTCCAGCTCTGTCCAGCTCTGTCCAGCTCTCTCCAGCTCTGTCCAGCTCTGCCCAGCTCTGCTCAGCTCTGCCCAGCTCTGTCCAGCTCTGTCCAGCTCTGCCCAGCTCTGCTCAGCTCTGCCCAGCTCTGTCCAGCTCTGTCCAGCTCTGTCCAGCTCTGTCCAGCTCTCTCCAGCTCCTTCAAACTCTTCTTTTCCCTCAGCCAATTCAACCATTCCGAAATTTTTGGTTAGATAAACATTTGAAAAAGACTTTTTAGTACTTTTTAGTACAGAAAGTGAAAAAGAAAGATAGAAGTTGAAAAATAGTGAAAAAAAACGCAGGAATACGATGAACAAAACGGCAATCACTACTTTGAACTTAAAAAAAGTGAGTATTTGAGAAGGTTTTGGAGTACCAGATAAGCTAGAAATCATCTTTATCATGTACTTTGTACTTTTTATGATGTACTTTGTACTTTTTTGACGTACTTTGTCCTTTTTTGACGTACTTTATCCTTTTTTGACGTACTTTATCCTTTTATGTACTCTAATTTGATAAACACACCCTTTCTGGTGAACTAGCTTGTCAGTTTTCTCATTAGCGAAATGGGTTTCCTGTTAGTTTACCTTAAAAATAGTATTTGTCTGTTTTTCAACAAAAACTTGTCCGTAACGGGAGTCGAACCCGCCTGGCAGGCCCCATCCTTTCTCTACGCCAGCCCACTAACCACTAGGCCACCGCTGCTCTTTTCTTCCCCTCTTGTGACGCCGCCTTATTGGCTGGGAAGCGATTTTGATCGATTGAAATTTGGAAAATGGTCGAAGCTCAGGCTTAGGCTTAGGCTTAGGCTCAGGCTTAGGCTCAGGCTTAGACTTAGGCTTAGACTTCAGTTCGTACTGAAGAATTCAGCGCACTAGAAAGGGTGTGTTTCGAGTACAAAGTACAATCATAACAAATGAATTGCTGAGAAATGATTGTTGAGAAACGATTGCTAACACTTTTACCCAAAAAAAAACAGATTTTGCTCTGATTTTGGCTACAGAATAGCTACAGAATAGCTACAGAATAGCTACAGAATAGCTACAGTAATAGCTACAGAATAGCTACAGAATAGCTACAGTAATAGCTACAGTAATAGCTACAGTAATAGCTACAGTAATAGCTACAGTAATAGCTACAGAATAGCTACAGAATAGCTACAGAATAGCTACAGAATAGCTACAGAATAGCTACAGAATAGCTACAGAATAGCTACAGAATAGCTACAGTAATAGCTACAGAATAGCTACAGAATAGCTACAGAATAGCTACAGAATAGCTACAGTAATAGCTACAGTAATAGCTACAGAATTACTGCCATAGCTTTCTATTTCTTTCTTTTGTATTTCCTTTGTTTTATCTGGTTTTTATCTGGTTTTATCTGGTTTTTATCTGGTAATCCAAAAGAAAACTAAAAAATTTCAGGGATATAAATCGCACAAGGGACTTGAAAAAGAAAAAAAAATAGAAAAAAACGCTTTTTTTGCTAATCATTTACCGAAACAACGGCGGTCGAAACAGTCGGCGACGCGGATTTTCGATTTTTCTAAGATTATTACAAAAGAGTTAACGGGTTTTCGATAGAATTTAATAGATTATCGATAGCTTATCGATAAATATCGATAGCTTATCGATAAATAACTAATAGTCGCTTATCTATAGCTTTTTTTAGTTTAATAATTGATTATCTAGAGCTCTAGAGCTTTTTAAATATCTATAGACTAATAAATATCTATAGAATCATTGTTTTTTCTTAAAGAAACAATCGATTTTGACAAGAACTAGGGTAAAATTTTTTGTGAATGAGTTTAGACAAGTTTAGACGAGTTTAGACAAGTTTAAACAAGTTTAAACAAGTCTAAACAAGGTCTAAACAAGTCTAAACAAGGTCTAAACAAGTCTAAACAAGTTTAAACAAGTCTAAACAAGGTCTAAACAAGTTTAAACAAGTCTAAACAAGTTAAAACCAAGTCTAATCAAGTCTAAACAAGGTTAAACAAGTCTAAACAAGTCTAAACAAGTCTAGACAAGTTTAAACAAGTCTAAACAAGTCTAAACAAGTCTAAACAAGTCTAAACAAGTCTAAACAAGTTTAAACAAGTCTAAACAAGTCTAAACAAATCTAAACAAGGTCTAAACAAGTCTAAACAAGTCTAAACAAGGTCTAAACAAGTCTAAACCAGTCTAAACAAGTCTAAACAAGTCAAACAAGCAGAATTAACTAGAAATGAGTAGGGTTATTGGTCAGAAATTAGTGACAAATTGCATAGAAAGATTTAAAAATCGAATGCTAATTGTTAATGGTGGGAAAGAGCGACAAGAGGAAAGATTGGAATGTAAAGATTAGAGATTATGGTAGAAAAAAGTGATGCTGGAAGAATCAAGGATAGACTGGAAGAATCAAGGATTTTAGGCTAAGATTATGGAAAAGAGCAAAAAGAAATGAAAAGCGATGATGGAATTTAGAATGGAATGGAGATTAGATTGGATGGAATGGAATGGATTAGAGACGACGGGAAGGATTGAAGAGTTCGGGAGACGGTAGAAGATCTTGGAAATACAAAAACTTGAGATTACAGTTGTTGAGATACATGTTACGGATCTAGAAATCCGTCTGATCTAGAAATCCACCCGACTTAGACTGATAGGACCTCTGATCTAGAGATCGGAGCCGATCACTCTAAATCTGGATCGGACGTTTGATTTAGAGTGATCGGCTTGATTCTAGATCGGCTAGATCGGCTGGATCGGCTAGATCGGCTTGATTCTAGACGTACAATCTAGATTCTGGACTTCGAGTCTGGATGTCCAATCTAGAGTCTGGAGGTCCAATCTAGAGTCTAGAGGTCCAATCTAGAGTCTAGAGGTCCAATCTAGAGTCTAGAGGTCCAATCTAGAGTCTAGAGGTCCAATCTAGAGTCTAGAGGTCCAATCTAGAGTCTAGAGGTCCAATCTAGAGTTCGGCCGTCTAGATCGGACGTCTGAATGTCTAAATCAACCGTAACAGATATACTAAATAAAAGAACTCAAAAAGTCTAGAATTACAGTAGAAAGGATGAGCTTTAAAAAGAGAGAAAAAGAAAGGGACTTAGAGTGATCGGCTTGATTCTAGATCGGCTTGATCAGCTAGATCGGCTAGATCAGCTAGATCGGCTAGATCAGCTAGATCAGATTTAGAATGAGCTTTACGTTCCGTAAACCGACGTCCGTAGAGTCGTTTTACGGATCGTTTTACGTTCCGATCGTTTTAAGTGTTTTTAGAACTTCTCAAGAACTTCAAAAAGCTTCTTAATTAGACAAAAATAAGGGTAAAAGTTGATAAAACAAAATGGAAGAGATTTGAAGTAATTAGAAGAAATTAGAAGAAATTGAAAGAGATTTGGAGAAATTTAGAACAAATCTAATCAAGAAGAACAGATCTAATCAAGAAGTAGAAGAGTCAAAGAGTGATTAGTTACAATAAGACTTTAGGTTAACTCCAAGGAAAGTCCAAGGAAAGTCCAAGAAGAAGATCAAGAAGGCCAATCAAGAAGACCAAGATTGGCCAGAGCCTTGTGGTTTATTCGCGTAAACTTTCATCATCTGGTGCACGGAGTCTAGCCGTGTGCCAAACGCTGAGTGATTGCGTGGCCCCACAAAGTTCAGAAGTCGATGAGATTCAGTTAAGAAAAGAATAGAAGCTAATGATATTCAGTTAAGAGGATCTACAGTAACCCTGGACGTCCAATCTAGAGTCTGGAGGTCCAATCTAGATTCTGGATGTCCAATCTAGAGTCTAGAGGTCCAATCTAGAGTCTGGAAGTCCAATCTAGAGTCTGGATGTCCAATCTAGAGTCTGGATGTCCAATCTAGAGTCTGGATGTCCAATCTAGAGTCTGGATGTCCAATCTAGATTCTGGATGTCCAATCAAGAGTCTGGATGTCCAATCTAGAGTCTGGATGTCCAATCTAGAGTCTGGATGTCCAATCTAGAGTCTGGATGTCCAATCTAGAGTCTGGATGTCCAATCTAGAGTCTGGTGTCCAATCTAGAGTCTGTGTCCAATCTAGAGTCTGGAGGTCCAATCTAGAGTCTGGATGTCCAATCTAGAGTCTGGACGTCCAATCTAGAGTCTAGAGGTCCAATCCAGATTCTGGAGGTCCAATCTAGAGTTAAGAAGATCTACAGTAACCCTGGATCTTCTCTAATGCTTGTATTGTCTAATCCGTTTTCTTAAAGGCAATTCTAGAGCCATAATCCGCTTAGTTTTATTCAAATTCAGCCCAAAACTCTAACAAAACTAGTTCTTCAAAGAGAATTCAGAGAATCAATGAAAAATCTCAGAGTCCAACTACCAAAATCGACTGATTACGGTAGTTTTCATGAAATATTCCTGTAGAAAACGGATTAGGCTTGAAAAATGAAGGCTAAAGCCTTGACAAACCTTGTCCGAGTTCAATGATCCCCTTGAACCAGATCGAATCAAAGCTTCTCCCTCAAAATCGAACATGTTTTTCCTTTTTCGTTTCTTTTTCTCTTTCTTTGTACTCTCTTCTCCATCAAGTTCCTGAAATTTGTTTACATTTCTAATTGTTATCTTCATCCTCTTCATCCTCTTAAAGTCTTCATCCTCTTAAAACCTTCTATGGCTCGATATTTTGAATTATCCTATACTTTAAAGCCCAAAAACACAGCTTAAAACGCTTTTTCTCAATTTCTCATTATGTTTTTCGGAATTTACGCATAAAATTACCCCTGAAAAAGTGGTTTTAAAGAAAAAATTGAGCTTTGGGACTAGACTAGTATCAAATCTTGGCTTTAGGACTTTGCTGGAGTTTAGGACTCCAGCTCTAGTTCTGGTTCAGCTATAGTTCTGGTCCAGCTCTAGTTCTGGTTCAATTCTAGTTCTGGTTCAGCTCTAGTTCTAGTCCAGCTCTAGTTCTGGTCCAGCTCTAGTTCTGGTCCAGCTCTAGTTCTGGTTCAATTCTAGTTCTGGTTCAATTCTAGTTCTGGTTCAGCTCTAGTTCTAGTCCAGCTCTAGTTCTGGTCTAGCTCTAGTTCTGGTCCAGCTCTAGTTCTAGTCCAGCTCTAGTTCTAATCCAGCTATAGTTCTTATCCAGCTCTAGTTCTAATCCAGCTATAGTTCTGGTCCTGCTCGAAACACAGACTTTCTGGCACACTAAACTCTTTCCTTTCCTTGTGACAATGCACCAGAAATGGTGGTTTTATCTTTTCTTCAGCAAAAAGTAAAATAGATTTAAAGAATTCTCACCTCCCATCGAATCTTCCATGACATCGCTGCGAGCTCTTGTTCAAGGCGATATCTTCTGAATTTTTTTTATTTCAAAACTTCTTTTTGTTCACAATTTGCTCACAAAAGATCAAAAAAAGATCAAAATTTGTTTGAAAATCACAATTTTTTATAAATAAAACTCGATTCCATTAAATTTTCCATCAAATACCTTAAAAAGAAAGCGAATAATAATGCGAGAATGATGATCGCTGCACCGGCACCGCAGAGAAGATAAACGTGTAACGGATAACCCTAAATCATTATAGAAGTTATATTTTGAATATTTTTAAAGATTCTAAAGAACAAAGATGCTAAAGATCGTAAAGAATCTAAAGATTATGATTAGAAACGATTAGAAACGATTAGAAACGATTAGAAAAGATTTAAGTCTATAAAACTTAACTCTAGCTGTAGTTAACTCTAAATAATAAGGGAAAGTCAACTCGATAAGCTAAATGCCATAATGACTAGCTGAATGACTATAGCTCATTCGACGTAGAATTTCAAGCTCAATCCAAATCTGCTTCCCGTTTTTCCTAAACAGCACCCTATCAAAAGTTATAAGCGCTCAAAGTTTGGTACCCTTGTAAGATGTATCCTAGTAAGATGTCTCCTAGTAAGCTCTCTCCTAGTAAGCTGTCCTAAGATACAATTCCAATGTTTCACTCACTTTTGGACATTTGCTTTTGTCAAATCCGCAAATCGGCATATCTCTTGGTGGTTTCCCGCCAACCCAATGAATCGTGCCGACTGATTCGAGTTTGTTCGCTGCGCCTGAGTAGTAGGCGACTTCCTGGAAATCTTCTGATATAGATTGCTATTGACATTATCGACATCTGATTATCGATTAAATCTAGTTTTATCTAGCGAGAGATGTCAAAAAGAGGTGAAGATACGAACGCGGGGGGGACAATGGAAGTAAGATGTTAAAATATTGCTTTAAATTGTTGGTTTAATACTGTGGAAAAACAAGATTTTTGGGTGGTTTCGGTTAAGAAGGGAGTTAGTTACTAACTGGGGGCTTGTCCGGGAATTGAACCCGGGACTCACAGGGCTCAGCTCCAGGGATGTGCCAGGTCAGGCTTAGGTCCAGGGCTGGGCTAGATCAGGCTTAGATCTAGGACTGGGCCAGGTTAGGCCTAGATCTAGGACTGGGCCAGGTTAGGCTTAGGTCCAGGTCAGGCTTAGGCCCAGGTCAGGCTTAGGTCCAGGGCTTAGCCAGGTTAGGCTTAGGTCCAGGTCAGGTTTAGATCCAGGTCAGGCTTAGATCTAGGACTGGGCCAGGTTAGGCTTAGGTCCAGGTCAGGCTTAGGTCCAGGTCAGGCTTAGGTCCAGGTCAGGCTTAGATCCAGGACTGGGCCAGGTTAGGCTTAGATCTAGGACTTAGCCAGGTCAGGCTTAGATCCAGGTCAGGCTTAGATCCAGAACTGGGCCAGGTCAGGCTTAGATCCAGGTCAGGCTTAGCTCTAGGACTGGGCCAGGTTAGGCTCAGGTCCAGGGCTGGTTCTCAAGGCCTAGCTTCTTCCAGTTACTTATACAGTTTATAGTTTTTAAGGCAAACAATGTCAGCAAGAAATCACCACAAATTTGTCCCTATCCGGGTCGAGATCAAAGAGGGAATAGTCCGAGTATCGATCGCCATTCTTGTCAATCGATACGTTACCCGTAATACCTGAAAATGATTTTTAAACAAATTTCTCACATCTTTCACTCACCAGCGAAAGTCCTGCCCCACATTTTACTCGTAATATTGTGCCCGTTTCGAGGGTCCAACCCATCCCTCAGCGTCTCATTCAAAGCAATAGCGTACAGCAAAACAGCATCGTAGAAAGCAGAAATGAAGTTGTTCATCTAGAAATTTGAATAGCTTCGATATTTCTTGGATTCTGGATCTTGGATTTTATTTTTACCTCATACTCTTTGTGCATCTTCTCCTTGTAGTGGTACTTCTTGTTGGCTCGCTCGACGACCCGTGTCTCGAACTGCTTATACTCTTCCTGGTCACTCCGGCGCAAAGAGATCGTTTTCAAGGCCTAAAATTTATGCTTACAGTACTCTATACAGTTCAATAAGCACCGAAAAGTCTAATCTGGATAGCACTTTAATTGAGCTAAACGTAAAATAACCGTTTTGCTTACAAGTTAGACACACTCAAACTAGCCACTACAAGATTGGCGCTATCTAAGCCTTCTAATGCATGAGAATTACTCAATTACCACTAAATTGCCTAATCTGGATAGCACTTTAGTTGACCGTAACGTCAGATAACTGAATTCCTTACAAGTTAGATACACTCAAACTAGCCGCTACAAGTTTGGAGCAATTCAAGCCTTCTAGTGGAGCAGAATTGTTCAATTACCATCAAAATCTCTAATCTGGATATCACTTTCATTGATTTAAACGTCAAATACCAGAATTCCTTTCAAGTTAGACACACCCAAATCGTCCACTTCAAGATTGGAGCAATCCAAGCCTTCTAGTGAATCAGAATTGTTCAATAAGGCCCAAACTGTCTAATCTGGATAGCACTTTAGTTGACCGTAACGTCAAATACCCGAGTTCTCTACAAGTTAGATACACCCAAATCGTCCACTTCAAGTTTGGAGCAATTTAAGACTTCTAATGCCTCAGAATTGCTCAATTACCATCAAAATGTCTAATCTGGATAGCATTTTAGTTGACCGTAACGTCAAATACCCGAGTTCTCTACAAGTTAGATACACCCAAATCGTCCACTTCAAGATTGGAGCAATCCAAGCCTTCTAATGCATCAGAATTGCTCAATTCCCATCAAAATGTCTAATCTGGATAGCACTTTAATTGATCTAAACGTCAAATGCCAGAATATCCTATATTAGGCTGTCCAGAAAGGGTGCGTTTTGGGCACAAAGTACACAGTCTATTGTCGATGTGATTCCCTCTTCACACTCAACTTTTTCTTTCTTCTTCACAATACTGTTAGTACAATGTTGAATACAAAGGGTTGAGTGCACCAAAAGGTTTGCGTTTCCACTTTTTGCCCACCTTGTACGCCTCTTTCGCTTTCTGATTCTCGGCGCTGTTCTTGTCGCTATCGTTGGCGCGTACCCACGGTTGCTCGGCGTGTGAGCTGAAAGGTTTTGGTTTTGGTTTTGGTTTTGGGTTGTGGCTTCTTTTGTTTGTTCTTGATTTGCTAGATCTTAGTGCTTTTGTAATTTGTACCACATTATTTGTGTAAAGAAATTTTTTTACAGCCACAGCAACTCACCCAGTCGATACATCGATGTTGATGAAAACGTAGTCACCCGAGGTGGCCATTCCTAAATCGTAAGCGGCCAGCATGATCTCTCGCACGGTTTCCGGTGAAGCACAGAGGATGATGACTGAAATTTGGATAGATTTGGATTGGAGATTTGGATAGATTTGGATTGGAGATTTGAATTGGAGATTTAAACTAGCTTCTTTATTGCTTAAACTGCTTTAACTTGCTTAAACTTATTGCTTAAACTGCTTTAAACTAGCTCTTGAACTCTTTCCTTCATTTCTCTTGAATCTCTTTTATTGTTTTTATTGTTGTTCATTGTTGTTCATTGTTTTTCTTTGTTTTTCTTTGTTTTTCTTTGTTTTTCTTTGTTTTTCATTGGTTTTCTTTGTTTTTCATTAATTTTCCTTCATTTTCCTTCATTTTCCTTGATTTTCCTTCATTTTCCTTGATTTTCCTTGATTTTCATTCATTTCTCGAAGTATTTCCCTCTTAAAACATCAATTAATCTTCCTAAAACCCATTTCTACTAATCTAGAATCTAAACCATTCTAGTTTTCACTTGTACTACTGTGATTCTATTCACAACCAAAGATTCTAATCACCAAAGATCACAACTGACTTTTAAACGATTAAACTCTTAAATGATCTCAGTTTAACATTGAGACTTGAGCGTCTGGTTCAAGTCTCAATGTTAAACTGAGATCATTTAAGCCTTCCATTTTAGGCCTTCCATTTTAAGCCTTCTATTTTAAGCCTTCCATTTTAGGCCTTCCATTTTAGGCCTTCCCTTTTAAGCCTTCTATTTTAGGCCTTCCATTTTAGGCCTTCCATTTTAGGCCTTCCATTTTAAGCCTTCTATTTTAAGCCTTCCATTTTAGGCCTTCCATTTTAGGCCTTCCATTTTAAGCCTTCCCTTTTAAGCCTTCCCTTTTAAGCCTTCTATTTTATCACTTTCCAATAACCCTCTAGTTTTCACAAGAAAAAGAAGATGATTTCTTTCATTTCAACATTTTTTTTGTCCATCACTTGATTGTTCCAAGGCTTTTCCCGAGAAAAAGGGCTTTTCCTGCTTTTCCTGCTCGATTTCCCCTCTTTTCCCCCTCCATAAATAATCGAGAAGATGTCGTGGAAAATGGGAAAAAAGGAGGCTTTTCAAACCCCGAAGAGTCACGGGTAATCTCAGGGAAAAAGGGATAAACGAAAAAAAAACCAAATAAGGAAACCCTCAGGGCAATTACTTCAGCGAAATGCCTAAGAATTCTAGAAAGTTTTGCAAGTTGAAAGATTCTCGAGATATCAATTCTTTTGTGCTTTGGGCTAAGATATGTAGGCCTTCTGGCTTACTAAGTTTCTCAATTTTTGCATAAGAACATTCTATCTAGTGCATTGAGTTCGTTATTTGCACCGAATCGTTCTGATGGTTGCCAGAAGGGAGGCGGATCCAGATCCAGATCCAGATCCAGGTCCAGTTCCAGATCCAGATCCAGATCCAGATCCAGTTCCAGATCCAGATCCAGATCCAGATCCAGATCCAGATCCAGATCCAGTTCCAGTTCCAGATCCAGATCCAGATCCAGATCCAGTTCCAGATCCAGTTCCAGATCCAGATCCAGATCCAGATCCAGATCCAGATCCAGATCCAGATCCAGATCCAGATCCAGATCCAGATCCAGATCCAGATCCAGATCCAGTTCCAGTTCCAGATCCAGATCCAGATCCAGATCCAGTTCCAGTTCCAGACCCAGGTCCAGTTCCAGATCCAGATCCAGATCCAGATCCAGATCCAGATCCAGATCCAGATCCAGTTCCAGTTCCAGATCCAGATCCAGATCCAGATCCAGTTCCAGTTCCAGACCCAGGTCCAGTTCCAGATCCAGATCCAGATCCAGATCCAGTTCCAGTTCCAGACCCAGGTCCAGTTCCAGATCCAGATCCAGATCCAGATCCAGTTCCAGTTCCAGACCCAGGTCCAGTTCCAGATCCAGATCCAGATCCAGATCCAGATCCAGTTCCAGTTCCAGTTCCAGATCCAGATCCAGGTCCAGTTCCAGATCTCTCCCCAAGCATACAAAGAACGAAAAGACGACTACAAGACTATGAACTGTCTATTATGCTATCGCGGAGTCTTCCGGATCGCGTAGAGGTCCGGATCCAGATCCAGATCTCTCCCCAAGCATACAAAGGACGAAAAGACGACTACAGTACTCTGAACTGTCTATTATGCTATCGCGTAGTCGTCTTTTCGTTCTTTATATGCTTGTGCAGAGAGCCGGATCCGCATCCGCAAATCCCTAACGCATTTCTGAAAGTATAAAGTACCGAGATAAATTGGAGTCAAAACAGAGACTTTGCATGATTATCGGACGATTTATTACCAATTGACATCATTTTTAAAAACAATTTCCTTTCAGCTTTTCATCTTTTAAATCTTTTCGATCTTTAAATCTTTTCCCCGAGCTGAACGAAAATAATGTGTTCTTTTTATGATTCTTAAAAAGAGTTCCCCGATTTCCCCTGAAAAAAGTCAAGTCGAGCGGAAATTGAATAGAAATTGAAAGAAAAGAAAAGCAGAAAAAGAAAGGAAGAAAGAAAGAAAGGAAGGAGGGAGGGAAGAAAGAAAGAAAGAAAGGAAGGAAGAAAGAAAGAAGAAAAGAAATAGAAAGAAGCCCTTCTCTTGGGTCTTTGATTGATTTTTGGGATAATTTCTATATCCAATCGCTGATTGATTATTGAAAAAACCTTGATTTTACATGCTAATCTGGAATTGGAATTTAAAGACTTATAGCCTTTTAGCCTTTAAAAAAAGCTAAAAATTGACATCATTAAGAACTCAAAATCATTAAAAAAAGGGAAATCTCATTGAATTTCATTTTTCATTCATTTAAAATTTCAAAGAAATGAATGGGTAAAAGAATGGAATGGAATGGAAAGGAAAAGAAAGGAAAGAAGAAGGAAAGAAAGGAAGAAAGAAAGGAAGAAAGAAAGGAAGAAGGAAAGAAAGGAAGAAAGAAAGAAAGGAAGAAGAAAAGGCTGAAGGCAATGAATTCGGCTTGAGTTAGTTTGATAGACATTAGGTCAATCAAATCAAGTTCAAATGTACTTTGTGCTTTGTCAAAACGCTGTTTGTCTAGAGCACAAGGAAACGAAGAGTTTCCTGTGCCAAAAGGTATGTGTTTACAAGTTCTTTGAGCACAAAAAGATACTAAACAAATTACAACAAAGTTTTGGCTTGAACTTTGCTTTCACTATGGAAAAATGCCTTATCTAGTGCACTGAATCTCGAGAAATTTAAGGATTCTATGTGCTAGAAGGCATACGTTTTGATTTAGATTCAAATCTCAGCTCTGATTTGATTTAGATTCAAATCTCAGCTCTGATTCCATTGAAACACCTTTGTCAAAAAAGCTTTCAATCAAAAAATGCTTTCAATCAGCTCTTGCTTTCAGCTTCGAAAAGGAAAGGCCCGAAAAAGGAATCATGGATTTTTAGCAAAAAAAAAATAGCCATTTGCCTTTGCAGGAGATGCCTCTAATCTTTGATTTTAATGAATTAAGACTAGAAATGAAAGGGAATTTTAATGAATGACGCCAACGAAAAATGAGAGTCCGATTTCCTTTAGAATGATATGAATTTGCTTTTAAATGACATTGAAATCGGTGAAAAGGATTAGCCATAAACTTGGGTAATTAAACCGGGTTAGAGGGCTTTCCGCCGATCTTCACCTAGGGCCGTGTGCCAGACGCTGTTTTTTCTGACAATCGACGTCAAGGGTACGCACCCAAGGGGGAGACCGGGGTTCTTTAACAGAGGCTTTTCAATCCCGGGACGGAAGGGCTTGGTGGCCTAGTGGTTAGTGCTATGGTCTCTAGGTCGTAAGGTCGAGGTTCGATTCCGGTCACGGTTTTTGCTTTTTGATCGAGGTTTTTTTAAAGACGCTTTTCAATCTCAAAGGACAAGGAGCCGTTGGCCTAGTGGTGGTTAATGGATTAAGACTAGAAATGAAATGAAAAAGGGAATTCAAGTGAATGACGTCGATGAATGAATGACAAAGTCCAAATTTCCCTTTAGAAGCCGTCATTTGATGTAATGATGTCATTTGTGTTGCCCAAGTCTTGACCAACGCTGCAAAACGGATCACCAGCCAGCCTCAGAAGCTCAGGAGGCTTAGAAATGAGCAAATCTTAGCTTACTGCTTAAAAGAATCCCCAATATTTATAGAAAAGTTTCATTGAATTTTTCCTTTTTTTTTTGCTTTTTTTAGATTTAAACATTCACCGAATTCTTCAAATTTCAAAAAAAAGAAAGGCTTTTTTTTGCTTTTTGCAAAGAAAGAAAGATGTTTTGACCTTTTTTTCGCTTTTCTTTCAACAATTTATCACTTTTCAAAAAGCTTCAAAAACAAGCAAAAATGACTCTGCAAAAGTTTGTTGAGCTTTTCAAGTTACTGAAAGTTTTTTTTTGACTAAAAATTGGCAAAGCTTTGCGGTAAAAATTGTGTGAAATCAAGCGTGATTCCGGGTTTTTTTGTTTTTTTTTTTTTGAGAATGAACGATGGACGAGGGTTTTCCGGATGAGAATTCATGAAATGGTTAGAGAAACAATCGTTACTTGTACACAAAAATTAGAAACCCACATTTTCTGGTGCACTTAGCTTTCTTAGAAACGCAAATTCTCTAGGGGTGTTCTTTCGGTGTTCTCTGTGCACGCACACAATCGCGCACTTTCTGGCATAGGGGGTTTACTGATAGGGAGCCGGGGGGCCTAAATAAGAAAAACTGGCCGGGTGTTCTCTGTGCACGCACACAATCGCGCACTTTCTGGCATAGGGGGTTTACTGATAGGGAGCCGAGGGGCTCTCAATAAAAACTGGCTGGGTGTTCTCTGTGCACGCACATAATCGCGCACTTTCTGGCATCGGGGGTTTACAGATAGGGAGCCGAGGGGCTCTGAATAAAAAAACTGACTGGGTGTTCTCTGTGCATGCACATAATCGCGCACTTTCTGGCATAGGGGGTCTACTCATAGGGAGCTGAAGGGATCTTAATAAAAAAAACCGACTGGGTGTTCACTGTGCACGCACACAATCGCGCACTTTCTGGCATAGGGGTTTTAGCCATAGGGAGCTGAGGAAGGCCTCGGTTAGTCTTGTGTCCATCGGTTTTCTCGGCGTCACTATGCTCAAATTTTTCATTTTTCCTTAAACTTGTCCATTTACATCATTTCCAATAATATTATATCATTTCCACGCTTTTGCAGAAGCTCAAGAGTCTCCGACTAGATCTCATTGTCAATCCCCGACTAGATCTCATCGTCAGCTACAATCTCCGCCCTATATCGATCGGTTCTGATAAGCGGTTCTCAAGATTTCGAGGAAATTAGGCGACACGAGTCCCACCTTATATTCGACTCTTTTTAAAGAGATTCAGCTGTTTAAATGATTTCCTAGCGAATTTAGACGACGCTCGGATTTAGTCGAATTTATTTAGACTACTATTAGAGAGAATGCGTTAAATAAAACCTTAATAATCTAGAAATTCCGAATTTTTCACGTCAAACTTTTTTTTTCTTTGAATTCAAAACATTTTTGGGTAAAAGGCAGCCGATTCCTTCAGCCTTTTCTCTGCATTTTTTTTGAGTAAAAAAGGGAGAAAGGAGAACCGAATGTAATCTATTTTAGCCGGGGGGAAAAGAGAGATCGACGAAACCCCTCCGTTTCTTTTGATCCTTTCCCTAAAAAGCCCTAAGGAGAAGTGCTTTTTCTTGAGAATTCCTCAAAATTCTACAAGACTTCAATGATTTTTGAGGAAAATTTTGAGATTTGAGATTTTAGATGAAAGGTGCAGAGAAATGAAGGGATTTAAAAGAGAATTGAGCCATTACGCCATCTTTAAAAGCCATCACGTCTTTAAAACTATTTGAACATTGAAAAAAAAATATGAATTTGCTTTTAAAATGACATTAAATTCGGCGCAAAGGGAAATCCTTAAACTTGGGTAATTAAACCGGGTTAGAGCGCTTTCCGACTCCCTTTACCTAGGCCCGTGTGCCAGACACTGTTTTTTCTGAAAATCGACGTCAAGGGTACGCACACTTGGGGAGACCGTGGGTCTTTTAAAGGGCGCTTTTTGACCGAACGAATAAAGGGCTTGGTGGCCTAGTGGTTAGTGCTCTGGTTTCGAAGTCGTAGGGTCGAGGTTCTATCCCGGCCTCGGTTTTTGGTTTTTATTTCTGTAAATATAAGCTTCAGATTCTTGAAAATTCTACAAGACTTTAATGGTTTTGAGGAAATGTTTGAGATTTTAGATGTTAATAGAATTGAAGCCATTACACCGAAACTCGGGGTAAAGGGAAATCCTCAAACTTGGGTAATTAAACCGGCTGACCGGGTTTTCCGCCGGTCTTCACCTAGGGCCATGTGCCAGACGCTGTTTTTTCTGATAATCGATTTCGACAAGGGTACGCACACTAGGGGAGACCGGGGTCTTTTAAAGGGCGCTTTTTGACCGGACGAGCCAAAGGGCTTGGTGGCCTAGTGGTTAGTGCTCTGGTCTCTAAGTCGTAGGGTCGAGGTTCGATCCCGGCCTCGGTTTTTGGTTTTTATTTCTTTAAATATAACCTCCAAATTCTTCAATTCTACCATTACGTCTTTAAAACTTCAAAAACTATCCAAATCCCTAACATTTTCTTTGTTAAAAGTTAAAATAAACCCCAGAAAAGAGAGATTTTAAAGCCAGTCATTTTAATTTTTCCTTTTTCTTTAATATAATCCTAGATTTTGCGATATTTTGTGATATTTTCAATATTTTCAAACATTTTCAGATTCTTGAAAAGAAAAAAGCAAGAGTTTCGCGAGAATTGCGCTCAAGGGAGACATTTTAAAGCCCCTTTCTTGTCCCTTCAAACATTACAACTCTCTTTTTAAAAGTCTACATAAAAATAGAAAGATATTGGAGCTGATGTAGCGATGAAAAGTTGAAATTCTTGGCTTTCCAATGAAATGAAACGATTTGCTGATTGATGACTGTGCTAGGGATTGAGATCTGAACGGTTGAGCTTGTTGCTGTTAAAAATGAGCTTGCTGTTGCTCTACAGTAATCCCAAGACTTCTACAGTAGTCCCAAGGCTTCTACATTAGGCCCAAGGCTTTTACAGTAATCCCAAGGCTTCTACAGTAATCCTAAGCGCGTCTAGTGGGTACAAGGCTGAGGACGGGGCTTTACCTGATCCTCACTTTTTCAAAAGTCACTAGCTCATTTTCACGTTCTGCTTTTAATTGACGTTGAAATCGGCGCAACGGATCATCCTCAAGCTTGGGTAATTAAACCGGCTTAGGCGGCTTTCCAAAGGCCTTTACCTAGGGTCGTGTGCCAGACGCTGTTTTTTCTCATAAGCGACGTCAAGGGTACGCACACTTGGTGAGACCGTGATCTTTTGAAGGGCCCTTTTCAATCGGATGAGAAGAGGCCTGGTGGCCTAGTGGTTAGTGGGATGGTCTCTAAGTCGTAAGGTCGTGGCTCGATCCCGGCCTCGCTTTTTAGTTTTTATTTGTACAAAAAAAAGTACAATGATATGAACTGATGTTAAAGTCAATATTGGAGCATAGGTACAAGGTACAAGATAGGTCATAGGTGGATCGTAGGTAGATCATAGGTGGATAGATAGGTACAAGATCAGAGTCCAATCAAATCACTTTTTCACAAGTCACTAGCTCATTTTCGCGTTCTAAGGCTTGATTTTGTATTGGTTTCAGGGCTTTAAAAGAGCCTTTTTCTAAAGTTCTGTCTGCAAAATGAGGCCAAATCACACAGCTGACACATCTCGAATGGGAAAAATCGAAAAAAGAAAGGAGAAAAGAAAAAAGAAAGCTAAGAGAAGCTAAAAAACATGAAATCGAGAAATGTGCTTGGTTGACCCTTTAAAAAATCATTTTTTTCAGGGTTTAACATGAGATTTTGAAACATTTATAGAAAAGAAAAGAAAGGAAAAGAAAGGAAAAGATAAGAAAAGATAAGAAAAGATAAGAAAAGAAGGAAAAGACAGGAAAAGAAGGAAAAGAAAGGAAAAGAAGGGAAAGAAAGGAAAAGAAGGAAAAGAAAGGAAGAAAGGAAAAGATAAGAAAAGAAAGGAAAAGAAAGAAAAGACAGGAAAAGAAGGAAAAGAAAGGAAAGGAAAAGAAGGAAAAGATAAGAAAAGATAAGAAAAGATGAGAAATAAGAAAGATAAGAAAAGATAAAAGAAAGAAAAGAATTTCGTGTACTAGAAAGGATTCGTTTACAAATTTAAGCCACCACATTTCAAAGGAAAAGCCAGTACAGTTCAAAGAAAAAGCTCGTGTAAAAATGCGCTTTTTGCCCTCAATAGCCAGGGAAAAGGGGAGAATTCAGTGCGCCAGAAGCGCGGGTTTTCACTAGCACAAAGTGCATATTGTGAGTTCAGCATTTTTCGATAAATTTTCTAGATTTCAAGGGAAATTCCGTATTTCTGGCGTTTTGGCGTCAATGATTCAGAGAAAAGGGGTGAATTGAGTGTGCCAGAAGCGCGGGTTTTCACTAGCACAAAGTTCATCTCTGAGTTCATCGTGTTTCAGTAAATTTTCAAGATCTCACAAGTGATTCAGCATTTCCAGATTTCGAATTTCCCCTGTTGACCGTTTGTAGTCAATCACAGGGAAAAATTGGAGTAAAAAAAAGAAAAAGGGAATTGAAAAATCGCCGACAAAAGGGGAGGAAAGCGGAGAAAAATCAATTTTCGAGCGGTTGACGTATCTTTTTTGGATATATTGTGGATAAATAAAATAGAAATCTATAGAAATCTATTGTCAAAAATTGAGAACACATTTATGATCTGTGTGAACGATCGAAAAATTCCCCATTTTAGCGTTTAAAATAACCCTGGCTTTAAGCTAATCTAATCTATGGTCAAAAGAGGTGACCAGTGATCGAAAGTCGACAATGATGTGAGCTTTTGAAGCTTGGTAGACAAAAATAGCCCAATAATAGCTCAAAAACAGCTCTCTTTTAATCAATTCGGGGTTCTTTATGAGTGAAATTTGACGAAAGAACGAACGAACGAACGAACCCTTTCTGGTGCACCCTTTCTGGTACATTTTCGTTCTTAATTCTATTTTTACCTATTGATCTTCAGTCTAAACCCTTTCTAAACCCTTCAGTCTAAACCCCAGCCCTTTCCCCAGCCCTTTTCCTCAGCCAATTTTTTGTGATGGATCGTTTACTGCAGAAGAAAAGGGAATTTCTTTTCTTTTCAAGGGAAAAAGGAAAGCTTTGTGAAAACACGGGAAATTGAAGTGCAATTTTTAATTCGTCTTTTTCACGAGTCAGAATCGGGAAATTGGGGAAATGGGGCTCTATACAAGGAAAAGAATTTAAAGAATTTAAAGAATTTAAAGAATTTGAAGGAATTTGAAAGAAATTGAAAGAAATTAAAGAATTTAGAATTTAAAGGATTTAAAGAATTTAAAAGAATTTGAAGGAATTTAAAAGAATTTAAAGGAATTTACAAGAATTTGAATGAAATTTACAAGAATTTAAAGGAATTTAAAAGAATTTGAAGGAATTTAAGAGAATTTAAGAGAATTTAAAAGAAATTTAAAGAATTTAAAGAATTTAAAAGAAATTTAAAAGAATTTAAAGAATGGTTTTGAGTTGAAGAGAAAAGCTTAAGTGCCTAATCGTTGGGTGAATGAAAACATCTAAAAGGGAAAAAAATATGAATTCGCTTCTAAAGTGACATTGAAATCAGCGCAAAGGGAAATCCTCAAACTTGGGTAATTAAACCGGCTAAAAGGGCTTTCCGACTCCCTTTACCTAGGCCCGTGTGCCAGACGCTGTTTTTTCTGATAATCAACGTCAAGGGTACGCACACCTTTTAAGAGTCTTTTAAAGGGTGCTTTTCGTCAAGGGTCTTTTAAAGGGCGCTTTTTGACCGAACGAGCAAGGGGCTTGGTGGCCTAGTGGTTAGTGCTCTGGTCTTTAAGTCGTAGGGTCGAGGTTCGATCCCGGCCTGGGTTTTTGATTTTTATTTCTTTGCTGATAGAAAACAGCTGATAGAAATTCAGCTATAAAACTCACTATTCGCTTTCATCGACACCTCTTTCAACAAAATTGTATAATTCTCGCGTGTTGCCAGCCTCTCGCTGAACATTTTCACGGTCCACTCCAATTGTTTTCCAATAACATTCTTGATTGTGTTCAACGCAAAATAGCACTCCGATCGAGCGCCATCCCTTTCCCCAGTCGTCGACACACCAAGCACATCATCGAACATAAAGTTCACGTTTTTCCACTCTCTCTCAACCAATAAATCATTCACGAGCTTCCCAATATAGCGATAGTTTCCAACAATCCTTGTGAGCAATGGGAATTCTCTTTTATTCCCCAATTCCTCAGTCATCCCAGTCGTTGTAAAGACAGGGACACCGCCATGCCAAAAAGTTGATAGTCGAGCAACTGGTGCTAATGAAAAAACATATGGTAAACCCATAACAGCATCAATTGTACCATTCACATAATGTTCGATGACAACTTGTGGTCCGATTGAATCACTTAATTGAGAGTCTTCAAAGATCACTTCAAAAGATCCACTCTCTAGCAATTGATGTCGATAATAAACATCTTCGACGGCTACATCAAAAACTGGTTTCGCTTTATCGATTGTTAAACCATAAGGATTACGGACTTTGTTCCCTTCAAATCTTGGCAAACCGACGATAATATAAAGTGGGAAGCCGGTTCTGGTTCCTGAGCGTCGCCATGTGATTCCTTCTGTTGGTGATGTGATTCCTTGTGTTGCTGATGCGATTCCTTCTGTTGGTGATGGCAAAACGCTTGTCAACGAGAGGAATATCGATAGCAGAACACTAGTCATTGTTCAGAAGATAGATATAGTTTATCATTTTGTGATGGATAGGGATTTGGAAAGATTTGGATTTCGCTTTTCAGCTGGAACTCGCCTTTGAGCTTTTCAGCCTTCGAGCCTTTCAGCCTTTGAGGGAATGGGCGGCCCCATTCAACTCTATGCCTCTATTCTCCCGATATCTCGATTTCTCATACTCTCACCAACTCCCAGTTCTCTAGATCTAAACATTTGCTAGCTTTTCTTCTATAGCTTTCTTTCTTTCTATCATTTCTTCTACTTCTTTCTCCTTTCCAGGCCTCATCAGCTTCTCCCCTCCTCCCGATCTTTTCATGACCAAACCCATGTCCCTATGCTTTCTCTCTCTCTTCCTTCTCTCTCTCTTCCTTCTTTCTCTCTTCCTTCTTTCTCTCTTCCTTCTCTCTCTCTTCCTTCTCTCTCTCTCTCTTCCTTCTTTCTCTCTTTCCCTCTCTCTTTCAACCACTCAACGTGTCCTATATGGATTTTTTTGGACTCTTTGGGAAAAGTTCTATGGCTGTTGCTCTGTTTTTGGAAAGAAGGAAGAAAGGGAGAAGGAAAGAAGGAAGAAAGAGAGAAGAAGGAAAGAAGGAAGAAAGAAGGAAGAAAGAAAGAAAGCACTGGGACATGGGTTTGGTCATGTAAAGATCGAGAAAAGTTGAGTGGTTAAAAACATGGTTAAAATGGTTAAAAACAATAACAAATTGTTGAGAAAAGGATAGAATAAAGTCTTTCTATAAAAGTTTAAGATATTGTTTAAGATATTGTTTACGATATTGTTTCAAGATTGAATCAAGATTGTATCAAGATTGTAACAAGATTGTAACAAGATTGTAACAAGATTGTAACAAGATTGTATCAAGATTCAAGAAAGATTGCAAGTGTAAGAGTGAAATTTGGAAAACAATCTTGTTTTAGAAATCAAAATTCAGCTATAAAGGTTTTTTGAAAGGAAGATAAGTTAGTTTCTAACAAATCGATTGCAAAACTGGGGAGACAGGTGTTAAAAAAGTGGTCTAGGAAGGGAAAGGAGTCGAAGTACAGTAAAAAAAGAAATAGAAGAAAGAAAAAAAGAGAGAAAGAAAGAAAGAAAGAAAGAAAGAAAGGGAGACAGACAGACAGAAAGAAAGGAACCGAGCAATACTATCTGGGGGAGTGGGGCTCATTGAGGGCGGAAAACCACTTGAGGGTCCGAAAATGTACGTGCTCTTCCCCCTTTTCCCCGAAATAAATGAATCTAATTTTTGGGTTGTAATAAAAGAGGGATGATGAAGAGAAGAAGTTGATGGAATGAAGAATGTGGGGAATAAAAGAGCGAGCCGTGTCTTCTGTGAGAAACCCCCGTATTAGGGGAGAATTGGTCGTGTGCTGGGGGGGGGTCGGTTCTGGTGGTAGTGAATCTGCCCTTTTGTCTGTCTGTCTGTCTGTCTGTCTGTCTGCCCTTCTGTCTGTCTGTCTGTCTGTCTGTCTGTCTGTCTGTCTGCCCTTCTGTCTGTCTGTCTGTCTGTCTCTTCTTTCCGGGGTACGGTAGCTTCTTTCTTACGGTAGCTTGCAGTCCCTTTAGCTTGAGTTTACGGTAATTACAGTAACCCAAGCCAAGCTTTGACAGCTACAGTAACCCAAGCCAAGCTTTGACGTTAGCCGCAACGATCTACAGTAACTTTAAGTAATTCCTCTCAAATCTACGGTAGTTTACGGTTCCTTTTTACGGTAGTTTACGGTTCTACGGTAGTTTACGGCTCCGCAACGATCTACGATAGTTTACAGCCGTTCCTAGATCACCCTTTAGCAATTGACATAGTTTAAGGCTAGATCGATTACCTTTTTCTGCAATAAGGAAGTTGATGTTCTTCACAAAAAGGGGGGTAATCTGATAACCACCTTTCTCTCTCTCTGAGAAGTTTTGAGCACAAGGAAAGCCATCAAAAAAGAGCCTTCAAGGAGAAACATTTTGAGGGAAAAAACTCCTGAGAAATATTAGAGTGAGAATATTAGAGTGAGAATCTGCGTGAATTGTTTACAAAAGAGTTGAGAGTGATTTAAGGTGAATGTACTTTAAAATGTACTTTAAAATGTACTTTAAAATGTACTTTAAAATGTACTTTAAAATGTACTTTAAAATGTTCTTTAGAATGTTCTTTAGAATGTTCTTTAAAAGCCGATGTTCTTGGATAGATTCTTAGCTGAGACTTTTCATCTTCTGTTGGCCTTTGCTGGCCTTTGCTGGGCTTTACTGGGCTTTACTGGGCTTTGCTGGGCTTTACTGAGCTTTATTGGGCTTTACTGGGCCTTGCTGGGCCTTGCTGGCCTTTGCTGGCCTTAGCTGGCCTTTGCTGGCCTTAGCTGGCCTTTGCTGGCCTTTGCTGGCCCTAGCTGGCCTTTGCTGGCCCTAGCTGGCCTTAGCTGGCCTTTGCTGGGCTTTACTGGGCTTTACTGGGCTTTACTGGGCTTTACTGGGCTTTACTGGGCTTTATTGGGCTTTACTGGGCCTTGTTGGGCTTTGCTGGCCTTTGCTGGCCTTTTAGTGGACTCATTTTCTAGAGAAAACATCTAGAGATCAAGATCTAGAGTTCTAGATTGTTTGGAGAATTCAGTGCACGAGAAAGGGTAGGTTTGCGTTAAGAATCGAAGTCTAATCACTCAAAAAACTTTCATTAAAATATTCAAAAGAAAAAACAAAGAAAAACACCTGCTTTTTAATGTTTTATGAGGATTTTTTGATCTCTTTTCACATGATATCAAATTTTTAAATCATAAATTACTTCGATTTTTGTCTAACGATCATTTTGTAAGCGTTTTAAAGGGAAAAAGCTTTGAAAAATTTGATGAAATTGGGGGAAATTTCGATGAGATTTGATTGCGGAAAGTTTCAGATTGAATACTGAACTTTTACAGTACTTTTACTGTACTTAGAGTACTTTTACAGTACTTTTAGTGTACTTAGAGTACTTTACAGTACTTTTACTGTACTTTACAGTACTTTACAGTACTTTACAGTACTTTTACAGTACTTTACAGTGCTTTACAGTACTTTACAGTACTTTTGCAGTACTTAAAGTACTTTTACAGTACTTTACAGTACTTTACAGCACTTTTACAGTACTTTAAGTTACTTTAAGTTTATCTATCGTACTTTTAAGCTTATCTATCGTCTTCTAAAGGCTAAGAATAAAGCCAAGAACTTCTTTCCAAGATTCTAAAGCTTCTAGAGCTTCTAAAGCTTCTAAAGCTGTAAAAAATAAGCTTTAAAAAGCTTTCAATCTTCTCTAAATGTTAAACAATTCTTAAAAGTCCCTTGGTTTCATTCAAAAACAGTTTTCCTCTTTCAAAAAGTTTTCCCATTGACTTTTTCCGCTCACTTGATCGGATTTTAAGGCGATTTGTTGAAAAGAATCGAGAAAAATGAGAACTTTTGAGAGAAACTAGAGAAAACTAGAGAAAACTTTTCGTTTTGATTGATCAAAAAGTTTCCAAAGTTTTTCCACAAACATTTCTGCAAGTTTTTATCGATTCAATCAGAGTTCGATAGAGCTAAAGGGAAATTTATGGTAGTTTTGGGTTTTTCGGCTAAAGTTTTCTGAAAGATTCAAGAAGATTTAAGAAGATTCTTTAGAGCTTTAGAGCTTTAGAAGCTTTAGAAGCCTTTAGAAGCCTCTAGAAGCCTCTAGAAGCCTTTGGAAGCCTCTAGAAGCCTCTAGAAGCCTCTAGAAGCCTCTAGAAGCCTCCAGAAGCCTCTAGAAGCTTTTAGAGGCCTTTAGAAGAAGCCTTTAGAAGCCTTTAGAAGCCTCTAGAAGCCTCTAGAAGCCTTTAGAAGCCTCTAGAAGCCTCTAGAAGCCTCTAGAAGCCTTTAGAAACCTTTAGAAGCCTTTAGAAGCCTCTAGAAGCCTCTAGAAGCCTTTAAAACCTTTAGAATCTTTTAATTCCCCATTTGATTCACTTGTGTGCGCTCGTTTTGGCGGAAAATTGTTGTTTTTCGCACAAATTGAGTAAGTAAACGGGATTTTTGGAGAAAAAGAGGAATCAATTGTTTCAAATTGATTGAGAATAGGGCTAGATTTAGAAAAACTGACATGAGATGGCCAACTGGATAGGCTAAATGACATAAGCTATAGCCCATTCGACGTAGAATTTAAAGCTGATTCCGAATCTGCTTCCGGTTTCAGCTAAGGAGGACTCTATCAAAAGTTATAAGTGCTCAAAGTTTTCTTAGGAGTTTTAATGTTTTTTGGTAAACAGAAACAGGAAGAAAATGGTTAAAAGAAGGAGAAGGAAAGCCAGTTTAGAAGTTCTAAGGCAGAGCCAGGCTAGAAGGCAGGTCCAGGACTCATAGGCAGATAGGTTGGCCAGATCATAGCCAAATCAGATCCAAGCCAAATCGAAGCCAGTGTCCAGGCCTGTCTGGTGGCTACCTTTTTAAGGCCAGGCCTACAGTAAGGTCAGATCAGTTGGACCCAGGGAGAGACAACAGACCAGGACCCAGGGCTCCCAAACTGGCCCTAGCCCTAACTCCCAACCTGGCCCTGTCCCTTGCTTTTAGAACTAAAGCTAACAACAACCAGAGATAACAACAGCCAGGGCTAACAACAACCAGAGCTAACAGAGCTAACAAGGGAATGCTCTGTTAGCTCTGTTATGAAGCTAATGAACTTGTTCATGAACCACGTGGATCTCATAGAATCGAGATCACAAACTCGTAAGAATCTTTTGCCAAACACCCTTCAAACGCGAGATTTTCAACCCTTTTTGAGGCTTTTTTTAAGAAAATGAAAGGGTGAATGAGGATTGTAAAGAAAATAGCTTCTTAAACATTTTAAATGCTTTGCTTTTTGACAAATCCCTTAAATTCTTCGAAAACACAAACTCTTTAACTGGTTTCTTCCACAAGTTGACCCTGCCGCTTTCAGTTTTTTCTTTTTCTCCATTTTCCCCCCTTTTGTCATCCATTTAGTGTAAAGCCTTTGCCCTTTTCGCAGCACTGATTTTGTGTGTTCTTT